CCTAGTTTTTGCTTTGCTCAAATTACTGCTACTTTAGAGAGCGAACACATAATTTTCAAGAAGAAATATAAGCATAAAAAACGATGTTGCGAATTTGCGAGTAGATAACGCTGTTTCATACAGCTGCCATTTATAAGACACTATGATAGCACTATCTGCAATACTGTTTGCAAAGCCGCTCTCACGTTATTGACATGCGAGCTGTGCTCTCTGGCCCCGTTGTTTATTTGCAAATCACCTGGTCAGCGGGATGTGGACCCCCCGACACCGCCGAGATCGCTACCGTTTCACAAAACGGTCCAGAGAATGGGTTTTTTCTTCTCCATATCTGCGAGCCTGAAGTGTCTGTGCACAACAGTGCGTACCTCGAGTGTCATCACAATTCATCTGAAGAGTATGTGCAGAGTCGCCTCAGTCGTGCATACTCACCACTCTATTCAACCTCTACTTCCTTCGGGGCAGAAAGAGCTGTCGCGACCAGCTGGATGAATCTCTGCCAGTCGGCGTGTCCAATGTTTCAACGGTTGATCTGCTCGTTCTAGGCCTCTCGCCGAATGTGTCCCCTCTCCGGCTGACGATCACTTGTCCCGTTGGCCGCAAATTGCACGGGCACATACATCCCTAGCCATAGTACATCATCAGCCAAACTCGACCGCTCCTTTTCTAAAGTTCAATGTTTTTTTTTCCGCCTTTTAGGTTGTCCTTTCACGTTCCCATACCTTCCGTTAAGCAATAGTTTGCTTTTCTAACAGTCATTGACCTCCTTGCTATACTTATAGAGTTCTCTACTTGAGTAGAAGGGAAAGCGACCAAAACAGACTTGCCTTTCAAGTGTTTCATAACTCCTAACCTTCTTCCTTTTTCTTTATCAATTTTCCGCCTTTTCTCTCTGATAACATACTTGGATTTTTTCCATTTTTACATACCATTATATTGCTCCCTTCAGAGTCTTTTTTAAACAAATGTTGAGATAAAGCTCTCCTTTTATCTCCCCGTTCTTGCTACCGTCACTTCTTCACTTGCCTTTGTTGCAATTATGCTTTGTTTACTTTGAAGCCAAACTCCTCTCGTCTATATTCCGTGCTGAAGCGGCTCAGCCAATACTAAACACATAAATTCATAAGATTTCCACTCATTCCTCTTTAAACTCTTTTCTGTTGCAGGCTTCGAGCAGATAAGCTCTTAGTTTTCATATTATTGCCCTTGACCTTTTTGAACTGAATCAATTTTTAGTGGATGCTATCTTCCCGCGTGAAGGACACGAACAGATATTGACCATATGAAT